AAATGCGGAAATACCAGAACCAACAAATATCAGCAATGACACAAGTCCAAAAATCCATCCCGATGGCCATCCGAAATCACACCGAGGCCCTCGAGACCTCAACCAAAAGTGCCAATCCATCCTAAAACATCATTAAAACTTGCTCCAATCATCAAAACACCTCCACCAACACCAAAACCATCGAATTACATCGGATTCACGCCTAAGTTCTTCTAAAACTTCCGAAACACGCATTTGATCAAAAACCCGACCAAAACACCTCTGAATGACCTGAAATTTTGCACACACATCCCAAATTACCTAATGAAGCTACAGCAACTCTTGGAATTCCATTCCGACCCTCAGATCAAAATCTCACCTATCAACCGGAATTCGCCAAAATACTAACTTCGCCAATTCAAGCCTAATTCTACACCGGACCTCCAAAATCACTTCCGATCACACTCCTAAGTCACAAATCATCTAACGAAGCTAACCAAATTGTAAAAACTCCGATCCGAGCTCATATACAGATAAGTCAACTCTCGGTCAAACCTTTCAATTCAAAGCTTTCAACTGAAACTGTTCTTTCAAATTCATTCCAATTCTTCCTGAAATCCAAAACCAACGATCTACATTAGTCATAATGCATAACACGGGGCAAGTCATGCCCGAGAATTGGCGATCAAAGTGCAAAAGCTCAAAACGACCGGTTGGATCGTTGCATTGAAAGATTATCATTCCCCACCCATATTCCCTTATTTAGGATACGCATATAGCCTATGTAAGGCTCAGTCTCATTATAGCAAAATTTCCATTTCAGTTCATTAAGGAAACTGGGGCAGATTTTTGGCACGCAGGTTGAGTATGCTAAACATGAAATCATGCCATCGAGTAGTCATCAGGGACTTCCTAAAGACTTGGGAAATGTTTTAAAGTACGCTAGAGTCATGAAATAACAAAAACGTGTGCTAGAGCTAAAGCTTTGATGTTTGACATGAGTCAACCTTTCACAAAATCTCAAATCAATTCGCTTCCATGACAATGAGCCTCGAGCGTTAGAGCCCTCTAGATAACAATTCATTCTCGTCCATCCATTTTGCAACATCGGCCATCGTTTCTAGTTTAAGGCTCCTACTTAACCATAGCATGGATAAATCTATATAATCGTATACTCTATTATCTTTATGTATTTATTTCATTATGATCCAGCCAAACAACTATAAGGATTTGGATAATGATCTCTACAATCTAAAGAAAGCCATTGAAGAAGAGTTGCAATCAAGAAATTATCAAAGTTTGAGATATGAAGATTAGTGTTTGCATCCAGATGTTGAGCTTCCGCTAGGGTATAAGCTCCCAAAATTCAACACTTTTAACGGGATGGGAGATCCCATTGCTCATTTAAAGGATTACTGCAGTAGATTAATTGGTATTGGACATAATGAGTCCATTCGAATGAGACTATTCATTCAAAGTTTGTCCGGATTAGCACTCAATTGGTACACCAGACAAGACTTTGGCAAATGGCGTACGTGGGAAGATATGGCTCGCGATTTTTGAAGCAATATGAATTCAACATCAGAAGTGATCCGCACATTGCTGATTTGCATGAATCTTTTCAAGAATATGCCACACGATGGAGGTTAGAAGCTTCAAAAATGCATCCTCCATTGCAAGAGGAGGAATTAATATAAGCCTTTGTCCAAATTCAAGAAGGCATATATTTTGATAAGTTGCTTGGAACTTGTGCACGCAATTTCTCTGATTTGATTCGAATTGGAAACGAGCTTGAACGTGGCATTCAGGAAGGAAGAGTTGTGGGCAATTCAACAGCCCAAGCCATTAACCAAGCCTTCCATTAGAAGATACCTGGAAACCTGCAAAGCAAAGGTAAAGAAGATAACTCAGTTGCCACGACTATGCACCAGTCAAAATGCTATGACAATAACCCACTTTTGCAATATTATATTACTGCCAACTTCCACAACATGCATCTCCCGTCTAATCACCAGCAAAGTTTTAAACAAAACTTCCAGAAGCAATCTCCTCGAGCACAATGCAACCTTCGTCAACAAAAGAAGATGAAGTCCTGCTCTTTCACTCCTTTGGATGAGCCATTGGTTGACATACTTGAAAGATTGAGCCAGAGGTCTTCTACAACCAAGGAAAGGATTTATCTCTGAGCATCCACCTCAAAAATTTGATCCATCAAAAAATTGTGCATTCCATTCAAACATTGAAGGACATGATACTGAAGAATGTTCAGCACTCAAATTCAAGATAGAAAGCATGATTGAACAAGGCAAGATAAAGGTACAACATGAGTTATCAAGTAGTAAATGCACCACGGGCACAATTATTGTCAAAGGCGATCCATCACAATTGGAACCACGATGCTTGAAGAGAAAACGCATAGTAGATCAGGAGGACCGAGAACGATGTCATATCACAACCATTCTCCGCCCGCCCGCCCTTAGTACTACTCTTTTGCAATTCTTCCGAGACTTTTGTAATGAACTACGTTTTGACCTGATCCCCGTTTAAGAGGGGATACGTAGGCAGCCTTATGGGTTCGGTCTCAACATAATAAAAATCCCATTTACCTCAAAAGCCAAACCAGGGCAGATTTTGCAGAAGGATCCTCATCATTCGACAAAGCAGAAAATGAAATCTCGAGCTAATATTTGTTACAAGAACAACAGCAAATTCCAGAATGCCATGGCAACAAGTTGCAGATTCAAAGCCAAACTTTGACGTTCAATGCAAGGAAACCACTTTCTTTTATACTGATGAATTTTCTTTGAGTAATGCAGGGGCATATTTTAGCTATTCTTGAACAATATTATACAATATCGCAAAGCTCAACATCAAGTCAGAAGTCGCAAGGTTCATGCAAAGCAAAGGATCAAGCCAAGTTATCGCAAATTATATTTTGAAACTCATAGTTTTCTTTGAGCGCAGGAATTTACCAATAATAAACTTCAGCATGCAGATACCAAATTATTGGCACCGCTCCCTGAATATTTGCTTCTATAAAGGCACTGCATCAAGCTCTCCACACCATGGATATTCGCTACTATAAAGTTAGTGCACCGGGATTTTTGCATCGCACAACGAATTACCTCTACAAAATGGGCACCATATCAAGATCTCTGCACCGTATCAAGCTCTCCACACTGCATCAATATTTCTAATTACAAATCAAGCACCATATATCGGTTCTATCCGCCCTGAAATAGGATATTTTGGGTTCATCCACCCTCAAATAGGATATATCAGGTTCATCCGCCCTCAAATAGGATATATCGGGTCCATCCGCCCTCAAATAGGATATATCGGGTCCATCCGCCCTCAAATAGGATATATCGGGTCCATCCGCCCTCAAATAGGATATATCGGGTCCATCCGCCCTCAAATAAGATATATCAGGTCTATCCGCCCTCAAATAGGATATATCGGGTCCATCCGCCCTCAAATAGGATATATCGGGTCTATCCGCCCTCAAATAGGATATTGAAGTTAATCTTTCCTCAAAAGGATATTTAATTTATTTCAACCCGAGTGGTCCTGCTTGCATAAATATTGCCAAAACATATCTTTCATAAATCATTGCGGAATGCATTTATCTTTATAAACTAAATTTCCATGTGCCATTGCCGACCATGAAATATGTCACCATAAAATTATATTTTTTTATATGTTTGCACAATAAATTCGCTTTTCTTATGAATCGATGCCTAAATATTATTTTCATAAGATTACTTTTATGCCATATTGCATCTTATTTCCTAACAAATATTTTTAGTTTGTTATGCTTTGCAGGAAATATAGCGCAACGTGGAACTATATCTTAGCAATGAACTGGGGCAATTTGTTAGAGAGGAATACCAAACCCTCCAACAAAGGTCAAGGATCTACTTCGAACTCCGCTCGGCTCAACTCTCAAAATTCATAATTCAAATTCTTATTTTAAACACCTTTCTTTCAATCACGGTACCCACTGTCTCTATGATTCGACACTGGGGCAGCATTTTTAGGATCTGCAACAATCGTTAAATCCTACTCCATAATACCATAAGTCTTGAACTACATATGGCTTGATTCTCGTGAAACCCGAGATATGTGGGCAACTCGAAATCGGAGTTCGGCCGCAATAATTTTTTATGTCCCCTTTGTCCCATACCAACCTTGATGGTCGGGACAAAATTGGCTACTATGTCAATTTCTTTACCCGAAAACTCTTACATCGTCTCCGGTCAAAGAGGGGCAGCTGTTGACACCCAATTTTGTCCGTCATTTTTTCCAATTAATTTTCTTGAGCTTCTACGTCATTAATACATCAAATACTTTATTTTTTAGTACCATTTTCCATTTCCTATTATTATTATTATTATTATTTTTATTATTGTTAAACTGTTATTACTCTTATTATTTACTATATTATTTTTTAACTACTACTACTACTACTACTACCACTACTACTATTACTACTACTACTACTACTACTACTACTACTACTACTACTATTATTATTATTATTATTATTATTATTATTATTATTGTTGTTGTTGTTGTTGTTGTTGTTGTTGTTGTTGGCTTTTGTAATTATTATTATTATTATTGCTTTTACGAAAAGGCAAGACCTTACTAAATATTTGGTCCAAGAACATTATAGCTTTGTATTTATCGATTAGTATCAATGGCTATTTTTTTAAATAAGTTTGAATACTAGTAATTATAATTTTATTAAGTTATATTAAGCAATATGATTACTTCCTTAATATTAATCTACTAATATTAACATAGCATTATATTAAAAAAAAAAAAAAAAAATAAATAAAAAAAAAAAAAAAAACAAAAAAAAATTATAGTTTGTTAGATATTTTATCCTTAAAGAAAGTAAAAACGGCTTAAAGTTGAAGATTTTTAAAGAGAGGTCTGAGAACAGTGTAGAACATAGAATGAAACAGACTTGAATCGTTAAAAATAGAACAGATCCAAGAGATTCAAACAAAAGCCAACCAATCAGCCCAATCAAATTATTTTATTTTTAAGTCCCAAAAATCCAATCCATAAAGATTATTCTAGAAACCCCAATTCCTCTCTCACCAAAACAGACGCTCCTCTTTCCCCTCTCCATTGTCGCTTTCAATATCTGCCATGGCAGAGCTCTCCCTTGGCCTTTTCTTCCAATTTTGGCTAAGTCTTGACCTTCACTTTTTCCATATCTTACCATTTGGGTAAAAGATCTGAAGCAAATCCCTGAAGCTTAGGACTTTGGCCAAGGAATCTCATATTTTCTTTTGATTTTTGCTGAGCTCTTCAAAAAGGCAACGTTCGGATCTCAACGTTCAATTTTTGAACCATGACACTGCTCAAAAGCTGCGCGCCTAAACTAACCCTAGAAGAACCCTAACTTCTATCTATAAATATCTGTTTTGGAAATCATATTTAAGACAACTCGGAGCCGCTGCCTCTCCCCACTAAAATCTACTGCTAGCTATTTGATCACCATTGTTGTTTTCCCTAAATATTTAGCTTCCTTTTTAATATTTTGTTGGCTTTCAAGCTAAAATAGAAGCATCCTAATTTCTTTCATCTGAGAATTGTACGTGAGTAGATTAGAGGCCGCTCCTAGTTCACTGCCCGCAAAAAGGTTAGTGGCACTGAAATATTTCCTTTCCGTACCTTTTATTTAAGGATCTGCAATGAGTATTTATTTTGTTGGAGGGCATAAGCTGTAGCTCTTAGTTTATATAAATTGTGATTTAGAGGTCCTTTGTGAGTAAAAGTCATGAAGTTCGTGTGTTTCTTGTTTTTTATAAAATATGAACCAAATAATATGTCGACTAAATGTACTTATAAGAATAGATTCATGAGCTGAGCATATTAGTCGTTATTTTGTGGCTTTTGCTTTAAATACCATAATCTGCCATTGTCTTTGATTGGAGTTAAGTCTTAGATTTTTTTTTTTTCTTTTCTTTTTTTCCTTGCCCAGCATGTGTTAAGTTAAAATATTTTTGCTTTCACAATTTTTTTTGAGTTTAAAAGTGTAGTTTCTGCACTCTCTTCGTGTTTCAAAATCACATCTAGAATCCATGACGTAAGATCTCTTTAATAGACGTTGTTAGATATCGCGCTTATAAAAGTCACCATTTTTTGAATGAATAATCTACGTTATATTCCGGATTTCTTTGAAGTATTTATCCCGTTTGACCAGCATTGACTTGGAGTCCATGGTCATAGTTTAGTTCACCATTTTACTCATCTAGATGTAGATGTTTTTTGCTAACACTTAGAAATTTATAACCTTTAAGCTTTAAATTGCAGAAATCATATCTATTAGGATTTAAATACTATTAGCGAACTCATTCTACCGAGGGGCAACAAAGGCTGGAACTCTTCCTGCCAAAAACAAGGGACCTACTTCTCATCCTAGGAGTTAGCAGGTATGAAAGAGTCCCCTCTCTGTCTGTCTCTCCGAGTTTCTACTACTAAGTAGCACTTCTGCTATTCAATCATAGAATCGATTCCGATCAAGCTGAAAAAAGCAACCAAAGCAAAGGGAGGAAAGAGCTATAAGGAAGACTGATTCACTCGCTTTCGAGAACTAAGATTTACAGCGTAAGGTAACAACTAGTATGGAAAGCTGGTCGCCTTTGGAAGCCTTCGCCGGTAACCAAAGCGTATCGTTCCCGCAACCACTTTGGTACTTTGTTTATAGCTTTTTTAAGTTATGCAATAGAAGGGGGGGCTTGCGCTTGAATTGAAGTAGCGTCTTTGGAATATGAGTAGGGCTCCTAAGTGGCGCGTTCGTGGAGGCAAACCGAAGGAAGAGCAAAAGGAAGATTGGGTGCTTGTGGGGCGAGGAAAAACCTCGAATAGGAGGGGGCCACCGCCCCGGGAATCAATAAGAAAACAAGTGCTAAGTTTCAGATCAGATAGTATACATTCAATCCGGATAAGACACTGAGATGAAAGACGAATCAAGCAAGAAAGGCAGGTCCGCTCTTATAGAAGAGCTACAGAGGCGGATGCGGATTCAGTCCGAGCTAAGAACTGAGCGCCCCGGCGAATAAAGAAGCCTTCTCGTAGTCTAAGGACCATGTCAAAAGGTTTAGATAATGCCTACTTAACTTTAAAACGTGTACCTTCCTTCATACTTACATAAATCAACAGCTGAGATTGAGCTTAAAACAAGTTGTGACGTTTTTGCGGCGTGCTTGATTACCGCACAAAAGATCTTGTGATTTCTTTTACTTAGATACCATGATTTAGGATTTCCATTGTAAATGTATTGGAAGTAACGATCCCCGGAAGCTAAAATTTGATAAAATGTTGCATATAAAGATTAAAATGTGTCTGGCACCAAATATTGATATTTTGGTCTCATATATTTTTATCGTGATGCTTTTAACATTTTAAAATCAACTTGTGTCTCTTGATTTATAAAGTTAGAATGAACTGAAAGGGTGCCTCTTGAATATTAAGCTCTATTTGGAAAATCTGTCCACAATTTAGGATTACAAAAAGTAGTTAGCCTAGTTTTAGTTTTTTTTCTAAAAATTATTTGTTTTCATTACAAGCTAATTCTTTTGTCGAGACTCTGGTTCTTTTCTGAATTATTGTGCCAGTTTGAGAATTCTCTATTCTAATTCTTGTTTTACTTTTCTTTTTGTTTTGCATATCTATCCGGAGCAACATGGAGTCTTAATTCGAGACTCTTGCAATGAAATCTCATAGTGAGGCTCGATGCTACCATCATCGCCATCACATACCATCTTCCTTAGGTGTATCGAGCATCAAGAAAAGCAAGCGAAATGCTTGGGGGTGCCTATGGCGTCCTTCCCTCTTAATATTTATATTGTGTCCAATCTTTTATGATTGTTGATTTATTTGTTTGTTTGGTGTGTATCTCAACTGTGGATTTAGTCATCTAGGTTCTCTACTATAGTATTTATATAATCTTTAGGCATTTAAGATCACTAATTTAGTAACTTTTTCATCTATTTACCATTGGCAAACACATTTTCTACTAAATTTAATATTATACCCCTAACGTTTTTTTTAAAAGACGTCAATTTATTAAAGTGATGCTTCTGAAATTTTTTCGTCAAACCCATTTTCAAACTATTGTTAAGTTGGGGTTTTGGAACCAATGAGTTTGTTTCCAGCCAAGTATATTCTTAATCGAGGATTGCTTTTCTTTAAACAACATTTAAAGTAGGAACACTTCTCTCTTTAGTTTGTTCCTTTAAGAATGATTTTTTTGAGTTATTGGTTTACTCAAGTCAAAACTGCTCTTAAGCCCATCAGCCTCTTGAAAGGTTTTAACGAAAGTAATGTTCTTTAAAAGCTAGTTTTCATCTTCTCAATGTTTCAATATTTTCCTTCAAAATTATTTCGTGTCTATTGTAGTTTATAAGTTGGTCTATTTTGAACCAAATTTTAGGCTACGCAATATGGTGTCCCTACTCTGATTTAGTTAACCGTTCTTCCTTCAAATAATTTTTCTAAACAACAAAGTTTTCAAATAGTTAACCTAAGTTTGGTTGGTAATCATTCTCAATGAATTTTATAGGGTGCCTTTACAACCTTCCCTATAGGATTAATTAGAACCCTTACCCATAATCTTAAGTTAAGATAGACCATATAAACAGAGTTAACTTTAAGCATTATTTAGCTAAAAATGGTATCCTAATTCACCATTAAACTAATTAGGTGGCGACTCTTTTATTTAATTAAACCTTTAGAATCACCAATAGGTTATACTCTAATTTGACCCGTGTTAAAATGGGGTATAACAATCCCCCCAGTATTCGAGGTTGATTGTAGAGAAATCTCGGACACTATAAACACAGTCTTTGATACCGATTCGTGAGCGGCCTTCTATTCTAAGTTAGCACGATCCATTGCTACCTCGTTAAAAACCTTGCTGAAAACCCCATTTGGGACAAAAACGGTTTAAGGAAAAAAGAGAGCAGCGCGTGCTATCAGACCTAAAGGCTTCGTACCGCTCCTCGTCGATAACCTGCAAGAGTTAGTAAAAAAATAGAAAGAATTGAAATGGGGTCGTACCTTGCCAGTAATATCGTTTGAGATGAGTTACGTTCCAATTATTCGGTAGCTCTTCTCCGTCCATCGTTCCGAGCTTATAGGATCTTGTCCCTCTGATCTCGAGAATCTGGTATGACCCTTCACAGTTCGGACCCAATTTTCCTTCATTTGGATTTGGGTGTTTAATGTAACCTTCCTCAGTACCAAGTCCCCAATATTAAAATATCGAAGGTTGGCCCTTCGATTGTAATACCTTTCGTTTCATTGTTTCTGGGCAGCCAATCGAATAAAAGTAGCTTCACGTCGTTCATCTAATAGCTCTGGGCTCGTATTCATGGCCTCGTCATTCGATTCCTCCATCGCATATCGGAATCTGATGCTTGGCTCCCCAACTTCGAACGGTATTAAAGCTTCGGCGCCATAAACCAAAGAGAACATGGTAGCCCAGGTACTGGACTTCGAAGTTGTGCGATACGCCCAAAGGACTTCGGGCAGGACTTCTATCCATTTTCCTTTGGCATCGGTCAACCTTTTCTTGAGGTTTTGTATTATGGTTTTGTTGGTCGACTCGGCTTGCCCGTTCCCACTAGGGTGATAACGTGTTGATAAGATCATTTTGATCTTGAGGACTTCGAGAAATTTTGTCGCCTTGCTACCGATAAACTATTTTCCGTTGTCACATGTAATTTCGGGTGGTATTCCGAATCGACATACGATGTGGTCCCAAATGAAGTAGATGACTTCCTTCTCCCTGACCTTCTAGTAGGCCTGTGCTTCAACCCTCTTAGAGAAATAGTCTGTCATAAATAAAACAAATTGAGCCTTACCTGGTGACGATGGAAGAGGGCCGACGATGTCCAGCCCCCACTTCATGAACGTCCATGGGGATAAAACCGAATGCAACAGCTCCCCGGATTGATGAATCATCGGAGCATGCCTTTCACATTTATCACATTTATGCACAAACTCCTTCGCATCTTTTTCCATATTAATCCAGTTATAACCGGCTCTGGTTACCTTTCGAACCAATTCGGCGCCTGAGTGGTTCCCACATGTGCCTTCGTGGACTTCCCCCAAACATACTCGGTATCTTCCGGTCCCAGACATTTTGCTAGCGAACCGTCGAACATCCTTCTGAGTAAGGTTCCATCTTCGGACAAGCTAAATCGGGCTGCCTTTGTGCGCAGGGCCCTCGATTCCTTTGGGTCTGAAGGAAGTTTTCCGTTCTTCAAATACTCTATGTATTTGTTTCTCCAATACCAGGTTAAGCTTGTGGAGTTTATCTCGGCGTGTCCTTCTTCAACCACTAACCTCATGAGTTGTACGACGACCCCCGAATTGAGTTCCTTGTCTTCGATCGACGAGCCTATATTTGCGAGGGCATCAGCTTCGCTATTTTTATCTTGAGGCACATGTTGTAAAGTCCATTCCTTGAACCGGTGTAGAGTTACTTGTAGCTTATCCAAGTATCTTTGCATTCGTTTCTCTTGAACTTCAAAGGTTCCGTTAACCTGATTAACAACGAGGAGAGAGTCGCATTTGGCTTCGATCCCCTTTGCTCCCAAGCCTTTGGCTAGTTCGAGACTTGCAATCATGGCCTCATATTTGGCCTCGTTGTTAATCAATTTTAGAGTTCTAATAGATTGTATAACCATGTTACCTTTTGTTTTAGCACAATGCGGAGTCCGCTTCGAAGCACAGTCCGTAAAGAGTGTCCAGATCCCCGAAGATGTACCTGAGTTGACTAACTATTCTCTTTTAACATCAAGTACTAGGGCCAGCGTGTAGTCAGCCATGAAGTCTGCCAAAATTTGAGACTTGATGGCTGTTTGGGGTCAATAATCGATATCGTACCCACTGAGCACTACGGTCCATTTGGCCAATCCGAAACCTCAGGTTTATACAAAATATTTCGAAGGGGATAAGTTGTTATAACACATATGGGATGACAATGAAAGTATGGTTTTAGTTTCCTAGAGGTGCTCATCAAAGCGAGCGCTAACTTTTCTAGATGAGGATATCTAGTTTCGGCTTCACCTAGGGTCCGACTTACAGAATAGATAAGGAATTGTGTACCTTGTTCTTCTCGGACTATGGCTCCACTTACCGCTATCTCCGATACTGCCATATATAAATAAAGTTGTTCGCCGGCCCTCGGCGTGTGAAGCAGCGGCGGGCTCGACAAGTACTGTTTAAGCTCCTCCAAGTCATGTTGGCATTTCGGAGTCCACGTGAAGTTATTCTTCTTTTTCAGCAACGAAAAGAACCGATGGCTCTTATCGGAGGACCTCGAGATGAATCGCCCATAGGGCGTCTATGCGCCATGTTAACCTCTGCATGGCCTTTACGTTGTTTACTACCGTGATATCCTCGACAACCTTGATATTGTCAGGGTTGATCTCGATTCCTTGATTGGATACCATGAATCCAAGAAATTTTCCAGAGCCGACCCCAAACGCGCATTTTTCTGGGTTGAGTTTCATGTTGTATTGCTTCAGTATACTGAAAGTTTCCTGTAAATGCTTCAAATGGTCCTCTGCTCGTAGGGACTTAACTAGCATGTCATCAATATAAACTTACATAGATTTCCCTATTTGTTCTTCGAACATTCGGTTGCTAGGCGGTGATAAGTTGCACCAGCATTTTTTAGTCCGAATGGCATTACATTATAGCAGTAGGTACCGTACTTAGTGATGAATAAGGTCTTTTCCTGGTCTTCCGGGCTCATCCGTATTTGGCTGTACCTGGAATAGGCATCGAGAAAACTCAGTATCTCGTGGCCGGCCGTAGCATCGATCATGCGATCGATATTAGGCAAAGGAAAAGAATCTTTGGGGATGCTTTATTTAGGTCTTTGTAATCTACACACATTATAAGTTTGTTTCCCTTCTTAGGGACTACTACTACATGTGCTAAGCATTCGGGATATTTTACTTCCTGGATGGACCCTATTTTGAGAAGTTTAGTTACCTCATCTTTGATGAAAGCGTGTTTGACCTCGGATTGGTCCTTCTTTTTTGCTTTACGGGACGGAATTTTGGGTCCAAGCTCAGTTTATAGGTGGTAATCTCTGGTGGGATCCCTGTCATATCGAGATAGGACCAATCAAAGCAATCCATGTTAGTTTTAAGGAATTGAATAAGTTATTTCCTGAGCTCGGGGGCTAGCCCCTTGCCCAGGTATACCTTTCGCTCCAGCTAATGTCAGCCGGTATGACTTATTCCAGCTCTTTGATCATTGACTTGGTGGTATCAAAATCATCAGGGACTATAAAGGATCGAGGGACCCCGTTGTCATCATCCTCGTTAGTTCCTTGCTTCTCTAATTGGGTCGAGGCTGGTGACTGTGGTTGCTATTTGACCTCCTGCTTTCCCTTCGAACTTGACCCTTTAGTTGATGAGAGTGCCGATATCGATATCACTTTGTCGATGGAAAACATTTCCTTGGTTGCGGTTTGCTCCTTGTAGAATGTTTTGACTCCCTCCGGTGTTGGGAATTTTAGAACCTGGTGAAGGGTCGAGGGCACTACCCTCATTTTATGGATCCACGGTCTCCCGAATAGGGCATTATACCTCGTATCGCCCTCGATCACATGGAACTTCATTTCTTGGATGGTCTCAGCCATGTTTACTAGCAAAGTTATCTCGTCTTTGGCGGTCTCACATGCCATATTGAAGCCATTTAGAACTCGAGCCGCGGGTACAACCTGATCCTGTATGCTGAGTTATTCTATGACCCTTGATCGAATAATATTGGCCGAGCTACCTAGATCAATCAAAACACGTTTAACTTCAGTCTTATTCATAAGTACAGATATTACCAGTGCGTCATTGTGGGGTTGTTTGATCCCTTCTGCATCCTCGTCATCGAAAGACAAGGTTCCTTCCGATACGTAATCCTGAGTTCGCTTCTCCTTTGTGATCGACACCTTGGTGCATTTTAGCACTGGTCC